AGGCCGACGGCAGACTGAGGCTGAGGCTGAAGCAGGCTGAGGCTGAGGCAGAGGCAGGCTGAGGCTGAGGCTGAGGCAGGCTGATGCTGAGGCAGGCTGAGGCTGAGGCTGAGGCTGATGCAGGCTGAGGCTGAGGCAGGCTGAGGCTGAGGCCGAGGCTGAAGGCAGACTGATGCTGAGGCTGAAGCAGGCTGAGGCTGAGGCTGAGGCAGGCTGAGGCTGAGGCAGGCTGAGGCTGAGGCTGAGGCAGGCTGAGGCTGAGGCTGTGACTGCGACTGCCGTTGCCACTGCGACTGTCATCGCGAATGCGACTACGACTGCGAGAACAGCAGAATTCTACAACTGGATTCTCATCTGAATCTTAAGGGGAATGCTTCCAGATATGCTCCTACACATCGCTGTTAGGTTGCTTTGCCGGGATAATCTTTCAACAGCAAAACGGAAAATCAATGATTTTGGCCTCTTCGGGCCCTCCTGGAGGACCTCTTGGAGGCATCTTGGGCCGTCTTGGAGGCCTCTTGGCGGCCTCTTGGGCCGTCTTAGGCCAACTGGAGGCAATCTCAGGCCGGCTTGGGTGCATCTTGGGCCGTGTTGGAGGAATCTTGGGGCCATCTTGGCCGTCTTGGAGGCCATCTTGGGCGTCTTGGAGGCCTCTTGGGCCGTCTTCGGCCCTCTTGGGGCCGTCTTGGAGGCCTCTTGGGCCGTCATGGGGTCATCTTGGAGGCCTCGTGGGCGATCTTGGGGCGATCGTGGGGGCCTTTTGGGCCAGCTTGAGCCGTCGGAATCCCGAGAAGAAGAAAATCTTTCAACAACCTTAGCAGAATCAATGATTTGGGCCTCTTTGGGCCCTCCTGGAGGACCTCTTGGAGGCCTCTTGGGCTGTCTTGGAGGCCTCTTGGGGGCCTCTTGGGCCGTCTTGGGCCATCTTGAGGCCATCTGAGGCCGTCTTGGGTGCATCTTGGGCCGTGTTGGAGGAATCTTGGGGCCATGTCAGCTGTCTTGGAGGCCATCTTGGGCCGTCTTGGAGCCGTCTGGAGCAGGAAAAACCCTTTGGAGCCGGGTCCGGGCCAATTTTCGGCATCCTTTCGGGTGGCCGGCGGGACGCGCCGGAGCCCCAGGGGGAGTTCTTTCGAGAACCACAATCAAAACCGATAAGATCCAGCACGCCAGGCACTCCTGTGATGAATCAACAGGGGGCGGCGGATCCAGCTGTGTGCGACAAGTCCCGCCACAGTGCCAGCGCAACACTTCGTGTGGTGACGCTGAAAGCATCGCCTGAAGGCCGTGACATGTGACACCTCTCGTTTCTATTTCTTGAGCGGCTCTCAAGGCGGCTACCTGGGTAGTCTTGGGGCTGTCTGGGGGTCGTGTGGGGCCCTTCTGGCGCTCTCTTCAAACCCTCTTGGGGCTCTCCGTGGGCCGTCTTGAGGTTCTCTTGTGCCGTCTTGGTTCCGTCCAGGGTCCCTCTTGGCAGTCTGGGGAGTCTCTCGGGGCTGTGTTGGAAGCTTCTTGGGGTTCTTGGGGTCAGTTCTTGGGGCCATCGTGGGCAGTCTTGGGCCCCGTTTGGGCTATCTCGGGGCTCTCTTGGGGCTGTCCTGGACCGTGTGGGATTGGAGACTTCTGGAGGTCCTTATTGGACTCGTTCGGCTTCTCTCTGGCTCCTTTGAGGCCATAGAATACCATCTTGAACCAAGAGGCCCAGGGAACGCAACATCTCGATGCATGTATATATACATATATACACACGTATATACACATATACCTATACCTATAAGACCACCCTTCGGGTGGTAAGGAGGTTGTGGGGGGGGAGAAGGGGGGGAACCAACATCTGACCCGATCGATCTCACAATCGATCTCACTCAACGGGACACCACGGGACACTTGTCGATCTCACTATCGACCTCACCATCGATCTCACTCAACCAGACACCACAGGCCACCACGGGACACCGCGGGTCACTTCTCGATCTCACTATCGGTCACACTATCGATCTCACTATCGATCTCACTCAACGGGACACCATAGGACACGACGGGACACCTCGGGACACTATCGATCTCACTATCGATCTCACAATCGATTTCACTCAACGGGACACCACGGGACACCAGTCGATCTCACTATCGATTTCATTTTTGGGGGCGGGGCACCACGGGATACCTCGGGGCACCACATCGATCTCACTATCGATCTCACTATCGATCTCACTCAACGGGACACCATAGGACACCACGGGAGACCTCGGGACACTATCGATCTCACTATCGTTCTCACAATCGATCCCACTCAACGGGACACCACGGGACACCACGGGACACCTGTCGATCTCACTATCGATCTCACTATCGATTTCATTTTTGGGGGCGGGGCACCACCACGGGATACCTCGGGGCACCACATCGATCTCACTATCGATCTCACTCATGGGGACACCACGGGACACTCCAGGGCACCGCATCGATCTCAGTATCGATCCCACCTACTGGGACACCACGGTGCACCACCGGACATCTCGGGGCACCACATCGATCTCACTATCGATCTCACTATCGATCTCACTCAACGGGACACCACGGGACACCACGAGCCACCGCGAGCCACCGCCGGACGGGCGGGCGGGGGAGAATCATTTGTCTTGACTTCGCCCTAGCAGCGGCGGACACCACGGGACACGACTGGACACCACGGGACACCGCGGGACACTGCGGGGCCACCGCCGGACGGACGGATGGACTGGGGATAATCATTTGTCTTGACTTCGCCCTAGCAGCGGCGGACACCACGGGACACCACTGGACACCGTTAGGGCCACCGCCGGACGGACTGACGGACGGGGGATTCGGGAGCCTTGAGACGGGGGTCAATGCAGACGGGGGTCAGCCAGGGCGCCGGATCCTGCAGGATCCTGCGAAGGCCCCCTCTGGCTGACCCGGGTTAGCGAGCCGCTCGTGGCCGCGAGGCGGCCGCGCCTATTGGCTGACCCGGGTTTGCGAAGACCTGCGTTGCAGTTTTTTTCCCCTGCAATGTAGTTTTTGGTTTCCTGCTGACCCGGGTCTGGATTGACCCGGGTCAGAAGATCCCCGAGGGATAATCATTTGTCTCGACTTCGCCCCAGCAACGGCGGGCTCATTCCTCTCGCGCGCCCACGCAGTTTCGCCTCGCCCGCACACACGACGCGAACGAAACGAAACGATTTCCCAGTTGGGGGTCTCCGTTCCACTGCGATCCACTCCGATATTTACATATATATATATATATATATATATATATATATATATATATATATATATATATATATATTATATATAATATGTACACACAAGACTGCAGTGGCGCTTCGCGCCATGCACCTTGGTCCTTAAAGTTTGGTATGCAGGCGGAAATGGCAGGAAGGTCAAACCGACAATTGAGCGATAACTCCTTGCTGCCTTTTCTGGCATCGCCGTTATAATAATGTTGTTCGTTATCCTTCCTCCATGCTTATTTTTCCTCATTCTCGCCATACCCTGGGCATTACCCCCTCCTCCTCAGCTCTTTTTGCGGAGGCTCCTCCTTGGAGAGCCTCTGGGGGCCTCACCAAAGTTCTCAGGCTTTCTTAAAGCCTTCTGGAGGTCTCCTGGGTGTGTTCTGGGGGCCTCGGGGCTTCCTAAGGCCAACCTGCCTCTAACCGCGGTCTCCCTGAACGCCCCAGTCACGATTTGGAATGCTTCGGAGGGTGTCTTGGGGCCATGTTGGGCCGCCATGGTGCTCTCTTAGGGCCATTTTGGACCCCTGTTGTGCCGTTTTGGGGCTCTCTTGGACTGCTTGGAAGCCCTTTCGGATGGTTGTGGGGCAATTTTGGAGCTTCCCAGGCGGCTTCGGACGCCTAGGAGACCGCCGTCTTGGAGCGTCGGGAAGCAGAAAAGATGAGAACCCCAAATGCACCAAACACCTACATAGAATCAGCGATTTTTCCCTCTTGGGACCTTCTTGGGGGTGGTCTTGGAGGCCTCTTCGTCCGTTTTGGAGCGACCTTACGGGGTATGACGGCTTCTTGGAGCGCTCTTGTGATGTCTTGGGGGTCTCTGGGACGTCTCCGGTGACCCCCTCTGATCGCCCTGGGCGTGCTGCGAAGGCTTGGCAAAACGCCCTGCGAGGCCCAAGGGGCCGCTTCGAGGCCCGTCCGGAGGGTCCCACAGCTCCAGATCCAGGGGGTCCGTTTTTAGAGGGGGTGACGGGCTTTCCCCCCGCCCAGGCTTATAAACATATAGGAAGAGGAACATGCGTGGCCCACCCCTATGGGCCCCCTTCTTTCTATGAAGATTTGAAGATTTGAGGATATGAAGATTGTGCAGGAACTCTTGGGTTTGAAGATTTGAAGATATGAAGATTGTGCAGGAATTCCTGGGTTTGAAGATTTGAAGAATTGAAGATTGTGCATGAACTCCTGGGTTTGAAGATTTGAAGATTGTGCAGGAACTCCGGGGCTTTAAGATTTGAAGATTCGAAGATTCGAAGATGTCCTGAGCCTCTGGAGGAAATCTGCAAATCTTCAAATCTTCAAATCTTTAAACCCAAGAGTTCCTGAGCAATCTTCAAGTCTTCAAATCTTCAAATCTTCAAGCCCAAGGGTTCCCGAGAAATCTTCGAATCTTCAAATCGTCAAACGTTCTAGATCAATCGTCGAATCTTCAAATCGGCAGATGCTCAAAGTTCACAGAGGGAGGTGTGCCGAACCCAAAGAATTAGTATTTCCGGTGGAAATGCGATGTGTAAGAGTGTTATGAGGTGTCTCAAAAATAGCATATTGTGGTGCATATGGGAATGAAGAAACAATGCGTTCGGCATCATGCGTTGCTGCCATGGCGCATGCGGTCGGCCTTCTAGTCGCAACCCCTACGGCTGGATGGATCTTCGACGATGACATTGTCAGGAAGTGGCTTGGGAGCTTGCACTTTCGCCGCGTAGTGGGCAATGCCCCAGCTGATGCGCGCTCATACTGGCGCGTGCTGGGGAGGCCCAGCCAGTGGCATTGCATTGAGTACTTCGCCATCTGCAGCAGAACGTGGCTCGCGCAGGAGTCACGCCTGCTGGTAGTGGATTGCCATGCCAGTACAGAGGCTTGCGCGATCCAGGCGGATCCTTTCTCGTATACTTGCGATTCCGCGTCTACCTTGACCATTCGATGTACAACTGAACCGTCGAGCTAGATCCTGGCCGTGGGAGCGCGCTAGCCGAGTGTAAAAAATCGCCGGATCTGTGTGCTGCGTCTGCTGCCGTCACCGCACCGAGCCTTATGCACATTGCACCGCTGCTGTTTTGGCTCAGACATCAGGCATGCTACCAGATTGCGTAGATGGGCAGATTTATTCCGAAGCGCAGTAAAGGCCGCGATGGCAATGGATTCAGAAAGGTTTTCAAGGTAATGAGAAAGCCAGCTGCGCGCTTGCAGGGCCAGAAACGTTCGGCTCGCACACGAGCGTCGAACACGATGTCTAAATCGGCTAGTATGAAGAAGAGGGGGCGGCCTCGCGCATCAAAGAATCTCATAGATCTTGCGAAGATGTCTGACGACGAGGTTCTACAATTCTTGCGAGAGCTGGGTTGCTGAGTTTTGCAAGAGACTTAACAGGCATGAAATGTGGTAAATCCAGGATTGGCGCGCGTGGACCCGAGCAGAGTCGCGCAAGTGGGCGACAGCATGTGCGCAAATGTACGAAGAAGTCCTGCCGCTGCAGAGCAATGCCGTTGAGCCAGCGCCCCTTGCTCCGCGCTGGACGACGCTCGGCGACTCCGCGGGAGCCGCCGGTGAATCCGCCTGGCCCTTCGGCTGCAAGTTCGGCGGCGGCAACTGTTCAGCTGACGTGTCATTCTGAGAAGTCGTTTGCCAGAACTCGAAGCTCGTTGCAATTGGCACGAAAAGCTTACGCGCAAAAGATTGAGAGGACGATGACACTTGGTTATTCTAAGCGAGCGCCGCCGTCAAGGTGGCCAGATATCGAGATAGATGAGGCGAGCTTTGGGGAAATGTTTTGTCGGCCTCGTCGGCGTCCAGATGATAAAGTACGGGCGCGGGAAAACTGGATTGGCATGGTGAGGCGCGGGCATCCTAACGCGCTTCTTCTTGTGAGATCTACAAACGGACCCACTCTGGCGAGCTCTCCTGGACCAGGTCCGGTCGCGAAGGAGCAGTGGCGAGCTATATCTGCCATTAGCTTCAAGAGTCGATATGTCGCGCTCCACTCTGATACTGCGCGAGCATACCGCGAGGTGAATATCTCTGGCGCAGTTCGTGCTCAGGTTGTTCATGAGTAGCGCAGAGTCTAGAACAGCAAGACAAATGCATATTTGGTTGAAACCAAAGTACGTAAAGACGGTCAAACATAATATCGGCGGTAAAACCATACGGAGAAAGGCTTGTACTCGATCCATTGGCTCCTGCTAGAATGTTCTCAAATCTCGCTTGAAAGTACACCAAGAACTGAAGCCTGGGGCGAGAGCATTCGCTTCTGCCGTGTGCTCAGCGCAGTATGAGTATTGGACCTGCGGCCAGGATCCATGGATCGCACTATCTGCACTTTGCCAGTGACACCACAATCAGTCGTCTGCATCGTTGCGCAGCTCGTGCAGGAGTCACGTTGGAATTCCGTTCTAGTTTGCCATGCCAGCACAGCGGCGCGGGCGACCCAGGAAACTGATTTTAATTTGCGCGCTGATGCACATGTGTATCCACCAGAGAAAGTTTGACTGCTGTTTCGGATTCGAAGTCGGCCGTGGATGCGCACTAGCCGGCCTGAAAATAATGGCTCTCGCGTCAGCATGATGTTCGAACCGACCAAGCGCCTTCTATTCGCACGTGGCACTACTCGCTCGGTTTAGTTCTATGGAGAGAGTATTCCCATTGAGTTTCTGAACGTCGTGGGAACACCATAACTCAAATACATAGTCATAACATCGCTCTTCTGAAGGACTTCGTTCAAGGGGCCTCTGCAAGGCCTTTTTGACGCAATTTTGATACAAAAGCAACATGGTTCCTTAAATTCGAGACCCTCCTTTTTTATGTTTTTTTGTGTGTGCGTGTGTGTGTGTGTGTGTGTGTGTGTGGGGGGGGGGGGGGGGGGGGTATCGCCCCCATGCCAAAACGCAATTTGTTTTTTTCAATTCTGTTTGAAAAATATGAAATTCGAAGCTGTTTTCTTTTGAACTATTGATGCTTTTTTTTTCAGACATTTAAGCTTTAGTGTTCTTTTGCGCCGGCAATCGTTTTCTTTCTTGTTTGTTCAACTTATTACGTCACACATCAAGTTGTGATGTATGTTTTCTTGTTTGACATATTAGAGCGCGTCAAACGCAGGCCAAAATGATTATGTTGACATGGTGTTTCAATTACTGTTGCTCTTTGTTATAGAAACTAGAAATTGTAAGTTCTGTTGCTTCAGAAATTCCCCCCACGATCTTCAACATGGAAGCTCGCACGTCAAATTGTAATGTGTAGTTGTTGTGTGGTTTGCGTTTTTTCTTTTTGTACACGAGAAAGTATGTTGAACTTACTTATGTTCGTGCTTGCGCTATGTGGCCCTCCCTATTGGTTCGCCTGTCGAAGTTTATACAGATATCTCTTTATTTGCGCCGTTCCGTTAGTTCTTCTTTGTAATTGTATGGGACAGGAAGCAGAAGATCATGTATGTTTGATCATGTATTTGTTTCAGTGTGTGCATGCTCTTTGTTTGTGGGATCTTTTCTTTTCGAACGAGTTCCGACTTCGCAGTTCATCGAATCTTCAAATCTTCAAGTCTTCAAATCATGAAATATCCAGATACTCAAATCTTCAAACAATTCATTTTTAAAGCTTCAAATCTTAAAATTCCCAAGTTTTCAAACATTGCAAGATTCATTTCATCACCTCTTCAAGTCTTCAGATCTGCAGCTCTGCAAATCCTCAAATTTATATCTATGTGTGCGTTGGAAGAAGAATGTGTGACTATAGCATTACATACAAAAACACGCTACATTATGTAGAATGTCGGATGGTGCGCGAGCTATGCGGTTGTTGGAGAAAGCCGAGAGAGGATAGGAAAGAAACAGGAGAACGGGAGAAGAGGGAAAGGACAGGTAATAGAGAAAAACCAGAATAACAAAACAGAAACACAACAACAACAAACAATAACAACTTCATGGAAGACAGGAGAGAGATCACGATGCATGCTGCAAACAGTGTTTGGGAATCACACCCCAATCACCTCTTCTTGGGCGAGAGTATAAACCAAGAGGGAAAAACGTGCACATATGGAGTTGTACTTTTTTATAAAAAAAAATCCGGATCTTGTTATTTACCAGTTTGGATATTCCAGGAAACACCTTTGACTGCTTTTTGGGTGCCTAACCGCCCCAAGGGACCAAAAAACAACCTCCAGCTTAGCACGTTTGTTCTCTCATTATGTTTTCGTCACTTTCTGCCATCAATGACAACGCTGCAGCGGACTTCAGACCAGCAGCAGCACCGCCAGACCTCCCGGCCGCCGGCGCCCTACGAGAGCCACTCGACATGTTAATCGTAATGAATTGTTCAGATTGTTTCTTCAATTTCTCAATGATGAACAGATTCGACACACTATGGCGAAGTCTGGCCCGTGTAGGGCTAATAAAAATATGATTCAATTGCATCATGAGGGTGATAAAGTTTCATAAGGCACCCATGCATATTTGCAGTTTCCGTTCCAATGAAACCAAAAGACTTGCATCATTACCTACATCCTCATGGTTCAATTTGAATCAGTGGCGTTGCCGCGCGATTCCGCCACCGCGCTCGGGCGAGCGTTCACAGAGCCGGAGGGGGGAAAGACTTTGGGACGCAAGTCCTTTCAAGTGTAATTCTTGTTTCGAAAAGAGCGAAAAGGCCAGAAACACACCTACTTGTGCAAGCGCGGTGGCGGATCTTGACGGCTATGCCAAACAATCGTTGCATTTGAGGTGTTTTGTGGCTCTCTGCCATACTGGGCTGGGCAGAGTACGTGCCGGCGAGCCGGCGTGGACGCAACAGCACACGTCCCCGCTGGGAGTGTGGGCGCCCCCGCGACAGCAGCAGCAGCAGCAGCAGCTTTGGCAGCAGCAGCACTGGCAGCAAGGCTGGCAGCACGGATGGCAGCAGGGCTGGCAACAGCAACCACAATCACACGGCTGGCAGCAGCGGCGGCTGACAGCAGGATAAACACTCGCAGCAAACGCCCTCGCAGCCACACAGACAGCTGAGCAAGAGGAACTGCCAGCACCACCACAAGCACCAGCAGCTACCCACAAGCTGCTCTCGCCTCGCCCCCCCCATAAAAAAACGCGGGCAAAAAAAGAGGCCGCGGGCTGCACTGACGCCAGAACCGACGCTAGCACCGAAGCTGAGGAAGACGCCAGGGCCGCCAGCACCGCCCCGCCGCCAACGCCGCCAGCACCGCCTGCGCTGCCAACGCCGCCAGCACCTCCTGCATCGACAAAGGCAAAGCCACGGCCTGCTTGGCTGCTGCACGGCCACAGAGAAACCTGAGAGAACTGCTCTCTGCCTCCTCTCACCTCCTGTCCTTTCCACTCTCTCTTCTCTTCTGCTTCTTCTCTCCCTACTTCCCCTCTTCTCCTGCTATTCCTCCCCTCTCCCTCCCCTTCTCTCTGTCTCTCTCTCTTCCTCACTCCTTTCTCCTTCTCCCTCCTCCTTCCCCCCCTATGCCCCGCGGCCGCGCAGGCTGCTGTCCTCTGCTGCGGCGAGCCAAAACAGAGAGAGAAACGCCGACAGACACTAAGTAGCTTACGATATTCCGCCGATTGTCAGAAGGAGTTCGTTTTCGCGACGATTGTAGAAATTATACTGTCAGCCAGGATTTTCTCTGATGAGTATGAAAGAGTGTCGGGAGACGCCGGGGAGTTCGCAAGGACATCCAGCGGGGAAAGACTTGACGTGCCATTTTATATTGCTATCTTCCTCGCGTCGATTCACACTCGGCTGCTATACCCTCGCGTTGACATTGTGATTTTGCTTCATCATTCGTTGATACTTACGCAGGACGAAAGATTTTCCTCTTGAGGTGAAAATGGCCATGAGGAGTTCGCGAGACAACGTCGGTGCCGCCGAACGGGCGGCGACTGGACAAGCTGTTTGCAGCAACCGGGGTAGGAGGGATGTATGTATTCATGTTGAATGGGGCCCGCTCGCGCGGGGAGTAGATGGGAGTGCGCGAAACGACGCAGGGCCCATCGTGGAAAGTTGATTACCGACCCCCCCCCCCATAGAATCTTAACACGGGCGGTTTGCGGGGTCCGCGGATCCGATTTCTTCCGGCCCCCTGTTTTAATTTAGTAATATAAATTAAAACAGGGTAGAAATCGGATCCGCCGTGAAAAATAAGACCGGACACGGATCCAGCTAATCCGAAATCGGATCCGTACGGACGGAAATCGGGTCCACCGAAACAAACACCAAAGCCACATGTGGATCCGCGCGAGCTTCATGATATCCGACGGCGGTTATCTCATACGGGTCTGTTCAAGACTTCGCACCGTCGTTCCGGGCCCAAGAGGAAAAACACATCGTCCTGGGGATGTACTACGCATTATAGCATCTCTCAGTAATCAGCCGGCTTAAATTGATTGCGTTGCTTTGGTCGTTAGTTTCTCGCGTGCAAGTAATGAAAGCAGGCATATTTGAATATGTTTCAAAACTTGATTTCACGCGCTGAACTGTACATTTTTTAACAAAGGGAGCAGAATGGATGCCGCAAGAACTGGCAAAAAATATCTCGGTGATCTGATGAGCCAGAACGCACGCACCTATCTGATAAATGTTGCCACGCAATTCCCGAGTACAAACGATGGGGGCTCTTGTCCCCGAGCAGCAAACTTTCGCGCGGCGCCCCGCGTAGAGCGAGCACAAAGAAAGACAGAGCAAGATCTTTCACATGCTCATGTGTCCCAGTTTGTTGAGACGGCGCGGGGCCGCAAATTTGTTATGTCTGAGTTGTATTGCAAAAAGAACAAGTAACAAACATGTGCAGCTGCGAAAGCAATGGAACACAGTACGTGGTGTATCTCTTCAATGGTGGATTTGTTTCAGATTCACAATTCTCGCGTTCAGCGGGGCCCAGTTCCTAAAGCATTGCGCGAATATGTAGGAGAACGCAAGTTAGATAGTGGTGTATACCCAGTAGGGTTAACAGTTATGCTTTGTATGATCGCCAGCGGACGTTTTGCATCTCTGTCAAAATGTTTACAAGCTCCAGAGGTAAAACAATGTTTTGGCGATGGTTGTGACAATCATACAATTTACACATTACGTTGCATCATCTAGGCTAAGTACAACGAAACCAAAGAACGCAACATGGCGGGAGGATCAACATCTGAGGTGAAACGTAGTTCTAAATTTTGCAGTGGAAATGGCGGGTTTCACGCTGACTGGGTGCGAGACTTCATGCGCGAATTCGACGCAACGGAAAAGATGTTTGAAGTGTTTGCGGAATCTTTACTACAACGTTAAAATATGACAGGCGTTTGTGCTTTCAGAGCAGTGCGCATCGTTCTGTGCATTCTTAGTGCATACGATGCTGAGATCTACGTGCCGGACGAAATCCTATACGATTTAGCCGGGCCGAACGTCAAACTGATGGAAAAGATGTGTCAATATGCTGGATTCAGTCATAAACAGCTATACAAATTATTCAAAGAAGAGCTGCCGCATATGGGCCGAATCGAGTATGAAGTCTGGACGTGCCAAGTCGTCAACTTTATTTTTTCTTTTGGCAGGCATAAACCATCAAGCTGGTGTTATCGTTCATTGACAAAGGAAGTGTTGGTTAAGCCAGAAAGACGGCTGACAAAACAGCGGAGGATTGAACAGTTTACGAATGCAACATATCTGATGTAATGGTAAGGGTACTATCCTCAAACCGTTTGACTTGTGCACCTGAGACTCTGCTGATGCGCCGGCAGTGCGCTGTGTAAATAGAAACGACACTCATTTAACCGAGCTGATATTCAAATGGCCGATGCCAGTCTGCCGTCTCTCAGAATCTCAAAGTTGGCGGTATATAGTAATTCCGAATGGAAATGCTATGCAAGAAAATCAATTTAACGCGTACGATTTGTTGGCAGCCCTTTTGTTTTTAATGTGACTCATATGTTTTGTGTTCGGAACCGCATAATTTTGGAAACACAGCGTTTCTTTACGAGGCCTCCAAGTGCGAGTTACACAGCTTTTCCGAATGGAAATAGCAAGCAAGATAACGATTTAAAACAGTTTTATTTGTTGGCGGACTTTTTGTTTGTGATGAAAATATTAGGCTTTCCTTCTGGAACTTCAGAATCGTGGAAACCACGCGTTTCATCATGAGGCTTCCGAGTGCGAATTATATAGCATTTCCGAATAGAAATGGCGAAACAGAAAATCATGTTCCTCTTTTCCTTTTAAAAACTATTTTTTTGTTTGGTGGACCTTTTTGTTTTTAATGCGAATCATGGCTTTCGTTGTGGAACCTCAGCATTGTGGAAACAAGAGCGTTTCTGTATGAGCCTTTTCTAAGTGCGAATTATACAGCATTTCCCACTGGATCTGGCAAACCAGAAAATAATTTTAAAAACGTAATGTTTGGCTGATCTGTTGCTTCTGATGAAAAGCATGTGCGCTCTTGCTTGGCAGTTTTTGGTTTTATATTGTTGCTGTCTCTACCGTGCGCTTCGCAAACAAAAAAAGTGCGTTGACAGGTGTTTCTCTATAAAGTGAATAGCTTCGCCAAGGTGAAACGTTCAGTTTTGACAACGTGCGGACTGCATAAACCACTCTGCGCAGTCAAAGAGGAACCGTCAAGTAAACCGTTGCGACGTGCAACAAAGAACGCAATATCGAATGGTCTGCGAGCGCTGCGGTTCTCATGGGTTGCTAACGATATCATCAACACATCGCATGACTTGTGAACTTGCCGTATGCCTGGTGCCAAAAATAAACATGCATGAGCAATACTCACATACACAAAAGCTTACGTTATCCAGCCGATTCTCATTGATGCAATATGTCAAGTGGTCAATATCCTAATCACGATCAAAAAAACAGGAGGCCATAGGGGAGGGCCACCCATACATACATATAGAACAACAGACGTGGACGTCCGTTAAGTTTGTGAACAGGCGTGGCCTTCCTGGAGGGCCTCATGGCCGTCTCTTTGATGTCTTTCTTGGAATGCGTTTAGGGCCCCCCCCTGGCGCGTCTTGGGGTCTTCTTGAGGATGTCGGGTGCTTCTCGGGGCGATGTTTGGGCCATCTTGGTTGCCCGAGTGGCATCCTTGGGCCGTCTCGGGAAACTTCTGGGACATCGCCAGTGAGGCGCGGGGGCGCGCAGGGAAACGGAGGAGGGGGGGCCGACGCACGCGACAGTGTGTGGCCAGAGGGGGCAGGGCCCCAAGACTTACAGACGGACCGAGGTATAGGGTCGAGGTCGTGTCGGGGAGGGTACCCACATGTTCTTCGTGTTTGTTGGATGCTATTGTGCATCCTGGAGAGGGTACCTTCGGATGTTTTGTGTGTGTGTGTGTGTTGACCGGCGGAGGGCCTCATGTTCTTGAGAAGTTTTTTTTTTGCCCTGGTCCGATTGTACAGGAGCACGCACCAGACAGTTCTTCGCATTCTACAACGCCTCCACGTGCTCGGGTTCACGGTGGCGGATGTTCGCTGTTTTCATATCTGGCGCCGAATCAGGGGTGGAGGAGTCCGAAGTCACTTTCGGTAGCATGAAGACTAGCCACATGGCGTCGGACCTGCACTGGGTGCCCGTATCCCGCAACACGGGTGATTGGGAGGCGAAGATCGATGACATCACCATCGACGACCGTCCGCAGAATCTGTGCAGCAATTGTTTCGTCGCCGTGGATACGGGGACGTCAGAGCTGGCCGGACCAACCGAGATCATCCTGGAGCTGTCCCTCAGACTGGATGTGCAGCCAGACTGTTCGAACTTCCACAGTCTACCGAGGCTCGGATTCCTCGTCAATGGGCAGGTCCTAAACCTCGAGCCGAAGGAGTACGTGGACGAGGCCAAGGACAGCTGCGAGGTCTCCCTGATGAACCTCGACGTGCCGCCGCCCAGGGGCCCGCTCTTCATCTTCGGGATCTCCCCCTCCTCCTTCCTCCTCCACCTCACCTCCTCCTCCTCCTCCTCCTCCTCCTCCTCCTCCTCCTCCTCCTCCTCTTGCTCCTGCTGCCTCGACTCCAGTCTGGACGAAGACACCCTTGCTGCCGATGCTGTCCGTTCGTTTTTGCTCATCGCCTGCTCCTCGTCCGCTCCCGCCTCCCGGTCCCATGGCGTCCCGCCTTCTGCCCAGGATCCCCTTCCTGGAGAAGTTTTACACCGTCTACGACAGCGTGAACAGCCAGATCGGCTTCGCGGTGGCCAAGCACAGGAGATTATTTTTGGGTTGAGGGTTCGGCTATAATCCCTGTCTTCGGACCCGCCCGCCCCCCCTGCATTTCCCCCGAGTACCTGACATGTTCGGTTGCGTAGGCCCGAAAGCGGGTGCGCAGCAGGCGCACGTACACCTTAGGCGATGCTTAAGAAAACCTAAGTTTTCGGCCAGAGTCTCGATGATTCTTAACGTTTCAATGTAAACCCTAAGATTTTGATCGAATTTTTGGGTTTTTATTCAAGTTCTGAGACCATGAATTTCTTAACCCATGATTTCTTAACCATTTCGCGTGGTGTAGGGCTGCCCTGAGCGAAAATGTGAGGCTGTGCGCCAGCAGCCTCCTCCCCCCCACCAAGGATCCTGGGGCACAGCCACGACGCTGAAATAATGAGGACCGTTCTGGGCTCAGGAGGGGCTCGGGTTTTCGGGCTGCTCCGCAGATTCACGTCGTGGAGCTCGTTTGTGGCCTCAGCCCGCCGTGGCCAGAGGGGCCCCTTTCTTGCATGCGCTCCTTATGGTAGCACGATGGCTGCGTCGCCGAAAAATTAAGAATCGGCCACGCACAGAAGGGGGGGCAGGGTGAGGGGGAAAGGCTTCTTTGAAGCACCCCTGCTTCATAGAATGGCGCGGGCCTTATCTATAGGTGTAAGACTGGCGCTTTCTAAGAAGCAGCCTTCGACTAAGAAGCTTTCTCACCTCCCCCTTATCCCCCTTGTGCGCGCCGCGAAAAGAATGATCTCGAGCAACCTCTCCACGCCCCCGGGCCTGATCATGTCGCAGCTGGACGCCTCGGTGAAGAGCCCGGGATCGGGCAGGCGGGGTTCCCGGCGGCACGAGGAGCATTGGTAAGGCTTGGGGCTGCGCACAGGCAGGCTCCTTCGGTAGCAACTCATGGGAGCCTTGTACAGTGGCCGCGGCTCGCCTTGGCCAGGAAGGCGCCTTCGTTCCTCATGCAGCTGCCGTTATTGTAGCACGACGGCTGTATATCCTCGCAATTCCACCCTCCAAGGGCACTACCGTGGGCTAGCGTGTGATGATCGAGAAGAGATCGCCGAGTAGGCGTCCAATTAGCGTCGATTAGCGTCGTTTAGCGTCGATTTGCAAGAGCGAGCATGATGGTATGGTAGGCTCCCATGAGTTGTCGCCGAAGGCTCCCCGCGGTGGTCCCAGAGTCTGGGGCGGTCTCAACACCTCAACGCTGGGGCGCCGAGCACCCGGAGTGTGCCCCGCGAGATGGCGGCGGGGCGTCGAGACCGCCCTAGGTCACTCAGGGGCTTCCTGAGGCCCCAGGACTACCTCGGGGGGCTGTTTTCAGCATCGGGGGGCTCTCTGCTGGAGTGGCCCTTGATGCGCGGCTTTCAGGGGGTGCGGTGCGGTGGGTGAGGGGTGGGGGGGGAACTGGGGGGTCAAACCCCAGCACGCGGACCGCCACCGCAACCATCGGTAAGCCGCGCACCACAGGTCCCTGTTTCCTGTTGGCACTCTTGCCTGCAGCCGCTGCCCAGGCGCAACCCAAAGCCCCCATCAAGGAGCAGACGGCCAAGGGCTTCCTGCGCAGGCGGCCGCCCCCCTGAGGCAGGGCAGCGTGCCCCCGCCAGGGTGCGCGCGGCGCGCCTGCTGGCCACCCGCAGCTCCGGCGCCCCCTACCCGCGGGGCTGCAGCGCTCAGTCGCCGGAGCCGCTCGGGCTGCGAGGCTGGCCTCGCAGGAGTGCCCAGGACAGTGCGCGAAGGCCGAGGTCGTGCTCGTCGGAGGGCTGCGCGGACTTCCCGGGTCGGCGCGGGACCTGCCCTCCCTGATCCTCGGCGGCGCTTCCGGGCGCCGCCTCCGAGGAGCACCGCCGGCCCGCGGAGTACGCTGCGGTGTCCTTGGCCTGTCTTACACGTTCGCACGCACCGAATATTCATTTGCGTTTCCGCTTCAGCCAAACTGGCGTGGGGCATTTGCCCCCCTCCCCCTCTCCCCGCGCGCGCGCCTTACGGGGAGAAGAAGAGCAAACGCGGAAGAGAGGCGGCACCGAGTGGAAGCGGCGCTGGCTAGCTGTGTATCTACACACTCCGAGAAGTTGCTCGCACCGTCTCGGCCGTCAGAAATTCTTTCTATCCCCCAGAGATGATCCCAGGAGGCCCAACAAGTTCTGAAGAGCTCCCAGAATCATCGATCAACGGTCTTCGAAGGGCGTGAACAAACCTCGCACCTTCGGCCATCGGCCGCCACGCCCGTCGGCTCACGTCGGCCTTCGTGCTCTGGAGTCCCAGGTCGCCCCCAGGGGCGTGAATATACCTGCGCTTCTCGCGTCGCGGTCTGTGCCAGGCGCGACTGCCCTTCTCCAAGGGGGGCGGCGCGAGCTCGCGCGGGCGAGAAGATACTCTCGCGTCACGCATCGTGGGGCGCGACGCGCAGAAGTTAGGTGACTCAGGGCTCGTCTCGCTGGGGTCCGCCGTGGCCCCTCGGCCCAGGCAGTCGCTGGTCGGGGAGAGGCCAGTCCTGTGGCCGAGAGCCTCTCCTTGCGCCGCTGCGACGCGCGCTCTTGGCTTCAGGAGGGGAGAACAAGCACGGACACAACGAAACGTCGATGCCCAGGAACATATGGGAAGTGATTCAGCGGGCGAAGAACGGCATAACATGTCTTTGTTCGTTACCAGGGGCGCCTATCCCAGAGCGGCTGGGAAGTTTGTATCCTGACGTGCCACCATAGGGGTATAAACTTTCCAGCCTCCATGGGACAGGCGTCCCCGACGGCGAAACAGTTTGTCTTACACCGTTCTTCATCCCCTGAACAATGGGAGGTGGAGGCGAATACCAACGTCCAGAAACAGACATTGAAGCATGTGGGGGATCGTGGAATCTGTATACGTTTTTCTGAGTCTCCCTGGGCGCCTCTTGGAAGTCCCGCGGCCGCGGGCCTCTCCTTGCGCGCCACTGCGGCGTGCAACGCCTGGACGGGGCCAGGGGGATGGGGGAGGCGGCGGGAGAGGGAGGCGGAGGGGGGAAAGGAGGGGGGAGGAGAAGGGGGAGGGGGAGGCAGGAGGGAGGGGGGAGGCGGGAGGGAGTAGTTAGATTGTGTATGAGTTCGGGGTATGAGGCTTCAGAACCATCAGAGATATGTCCGAGACATGTTTGAATGTTGACTTTACGATCCGTAACAATGATGGTTCAAGCCATCTGGTTCGAAATCATACGCTGGATAACTAACTTTGGTAGCGCTGATGTGGTGGCAGGTCCTGTGAGACACGCCGTCTCTCTGCCCTCAGATTCGTTGATGTGGTTCCGGCTCAGCCTCGAGGTCGACGAAAACATTTACATGTGTCAGCAGCAGCAGAAGTACGCGAGCAACGTCAAGTGGCTCATTGTGCACGTGATTGTAGCTGCAGTCTCACCCATCCTTACCACTTACAGCACCGACAGTTGAATTGCTGAGTGGACGCGCTCGGCCATGGACAACGGAAACACCTCAGGCAGTGGCGGCGGCATTCCTCTCGACTCGTTCAAGAAGAACACGCCACCATGATGGCGGCCCGGCAACGCAAGATACCCGCTACGCCGCTACATCCAGTTGCTCTGGTTTTGGTGGAGGCAGACGGAGCTAGCAGAGCACGCAACAGGACCAGCGATGGCAGGGCGTCTCAGAGGCTCGGCCTTCCAGATAGCAGCGAAGATGAAACGCAACAGGCTTGACCTCAATGCTGGAGTGCAACGCGAAATGGAAAGACACGAACTACTTGCACAGCTTTCACGATTGGACAGAAGAAGCGTCCTACTGGGAGTCAAACTACGAGAGTCGTGAGACCTGGACTTCGGACGGTTCTTGGATGTGGGTCGGTTATGAGGACGAGTGGCAGGATCACTGTGCGACGACAGCACCAATCGGGAAGCCGCCTGCGACGACGAGAGTGGCACTGACCACGAGGAAAAACAAGGAAAACAAGCAGAGGAAGTTTACTATGGTGAAAGGGGGTCAAAGACGAGGAAGAAAAAGGACGAGGACACGAAGGCAAAAAAGGACGAGGAGGCCAAAATAACGAATGCAAAGCATCATCTTCAAACGGTTGTACCGCATGCGGCTCTCCACTACACTCGAACACGGATTTCCTTTTTATAGAATATTCAAGCATCAAGCTCATCCGCCAAGACGGGTGATTTCTACGGCAAGAAGGGCAAGTACCGGAACAAAATCAAACGCAAGCATCGCAGCAAATCCAACAAGAGGGGCAAGGACAGCCGCTCCAGCGGTAAGGCACGGCGGAGCAACAACAAGGGCACGAGAAGCGGCAATAATGGTAGCTACTACGAGGACAACTCTTGGCAGCACGACGAATATGATGGAGGAAGCAGTTGGTTCATTCATGGTGTGACGGCCACATACGACGGAGATGCAATAGCTCCAACGCCCGAACTCCTCACCCTGGGCACGCTGTCGCACTTGATATCAATGGGGCCGAATATCACATTGCCTGTCAAGCAGACTCTCCAGCTAGGCGCGAAGATCGACATGGACCTCGCAGTGGTGACGCCTACCGAGCAGACGACAGTCGTCAACTTCCCGGCAGGCCCAGCAGCACCGATGACGACGTCGACACCTGCATCGTCATCTTGGAAGATACTGCCCCTCTGCTCTGAGGCATTTGTATAGGAGGGGGCACAGAGGACAGAGTGTTTACACATATTGGAGGAATGAGTGAATTCAGTATGTGTCGGGCTTGAAGTGCCTCGAAGAAAGCGCGCGCACCCGAATCGCAAGCATGTGGCTATATGCTGACCCAGGACAGTTTGCTTCCCGTCGTCGTCCTCGCCCTTGCTCCGTTCCCCTCCCTTCCCCCCCGTGGATGGTGCGAAGGCGTTCGCGGCTCGGGCGGGGGAGCGACCTTTTCCACCTCCTCCATTATTCCTCGTTCCTCTTTGCCTCCCTGCCCCACCGTCCGTCGCCATACCTCGTCTTCTCTCCTTTTTCGAAGAAGGGAAGTGGAGTCCCTGGCGCCGCGTGCCCGCATCGGCGGTATACCGCCCTTTCGACATCCCAGCACAGCGGCGCAACCAAACAGAGGCGATTGCCAATGCGAGCGTTCGGGGCGCACTTCAAGCGCGGGCGGCACGGCCGCCGAGCAAAGTCGCATCGCTAACCTGTAAATGCATAGGTGCTTGCGGCAAGGTCCGCCCCCCGGTGCGCCAAGGTTTCGCCAGGTGCCCGCCCGGGGGACCCTCGTCGGCGCCCCGTGCATTGTGTGGGTGTGCCGACGTTTCGCCTGGTGCCCGCCCGTGGGCGCCTTGTTTGCGCCTTGTGCGTTGGGTGGGTGTGCCAAGTTTCGCCAGGCGCCCGCCCAGGAACGCCTCGTGGGTGCCTCCGCGCTTGGTTGGTGTGCCGAGGTTTCGCCTGGTGCCCGCCAGGGGTTTCTTGATAGTTGCTTTGCGCGTTGGGTGGGTGTACCGAAGTTTCGCCTGGCGCAACGTGAGCGTCTCGTGGCCGCTTCCTGTACTGGGTGGGCGTGACGTGGTTTCCCCTGGTGCCCGACGTTGGATGCCTCGTGGTCGCCCTGGGCGCTGGATTGGTGTGCCGAGGTTTCGCCTGCTGCCCGACCGTGGACGGTCGTGGCCGCCCCGTGTGTTGGGTGGGTGTGCCGAGGTTTCGCATGGTGCCCGCCAATGGGCGCCTCGTGGGCGCCTCGTGCGCTGGGTAGGTGTTCCGACGTTTCGCGTGTTGCCCGTTCGTGGCCGCCCGTTGGCGGTTTTTGGGCGTCTCTTGCGCTGGGCGGCCACGTAGATTGCATTACGGAATTGGCCTATACGCCTTCAATCACATTGTTTGCACCGCACAATCTGCACTTCACAGCTCACACCACATGGCTTACAGCACACTGCTTGCACCGCACAGCTCACACAACACACATTGCACCGCGCAGCATGCACCACATACCTGGCATCGCATGTATTGTACCACGTAGCTTGTACAACGTAGCTGGTACCTCATAGTTTGCACAACGCCGTTTGCACCGCATGTCTTACACCACATACATTCCACCACGTACCTGACACCACACAGCTCGCGCCGCATCGTGGACATCCACAGTGCAAGGATCTACTGCTTGGGGTCCACGCTCGCAAACATTTGGTTTCAGGTAATTGTTTGGGTGTGCCGGGCGTTCGCCTGGTGCCCGGTTGGTGGGCACCCGTGGGCGTTCGTGGGTTTCTCGTGTTGGGTGGTTGTGCCGAGGTTCCGTTTGGTATCCGCCCGTGGGCGCCTGCGCTGGGAGGGTGTCCCGACGCTTGGTGCCCGCCCGTCGGCGCCTAGTGCGCTGGGACGGTGTGCCAAGCTTTCGCCTGGTACGCGCTCTTGGGCGCCTCTTGGCCGCCTCGTGCGTCGGGTGGGGTGCCGAGGCTTCTTGTGTTGCTCGCCCGTGGGCGCCTCGTGGGCGTCTCGTGGGCGCATTGCGCTTTGGGCGGCTGCGTGGGTGGCACCACGTTGTCTTTACGACTTCGACCACATTTGTTTGCATCAGACAGCTCATACCACATCGCTCGCGCCACACAGCTTACACAACAGCTTGCGTTGCACAGCTCAGAGCACACATGTTGCACCGC